CCGCCACAAGCATGAACACACATTTAGCCACGTGCCATTAACACACACGCACACTGCCACGTGCATTAACACACTGCCACGTGCATTAACACACTGCCACGTGCATTAACACACGCACACTGCCACGTGCATTAACACACTGCCACGTGCATTAACACACGCACACTGCCACGTGCATTAACACACTGCCACGTGCATTAACACACGCACACTGCCACGTGCATTAACACACTGCCACGTGCATTAACACACGCACACTGCCACGTGCATTAACACACTACCACGTGCATTAACACACGCACACTGCCACGTGCATTAACACACGCACACTGCCACGTGCATTAACACACACACACTGCCACGTGCATTAACACACTGCCACGTGCATTAACACACTGCCACGTGCATTAACACACTGCCACGTGCATTAACACACGCACACTGCCACGTGCATTAACACACGCACACTGCCACGTGCATTAACACACTGCCACGTGCATTAACACACTGCCACGTGCATTAACACACACACACTGCCACGTGCATTAACACACGCGCACACACACAAGCTCACTGCACTTTCCTTACCTTCTTCCTCTAGAGAAACACACAAGATACATTATTTAGCGTCACCAACACACACACACACGTACACACAAAGACTCCACTCCCCCCCCCCGTATAGCCTGAACAGACTGCTGGAGCAAGTACACACACACACGCACGTACACACGCACGTACACACGTACGCACGGACGTACACACACACACACGTACGCACGGACGTACACACACACACACGTACGCACGGACGTATACACACACACACGTACGCACGGACGTACACACACACGGACGTACACACACACACGGACGTACACACACGCACGTACACACACCCACATACACACACGGACACACACACACGGACACACACACGCACGTACACACACACACGAACACACCCCCGATGAGCACGGTTGTACTGTGCGATAGAAGTTCAACACACACACGCACACACACGCACGTAGACACACGCACAGACACGCACACAAAGACCCCCACGCGTACAGCCTTAACAGACTGTAGGGGCAAGTGACTAACAAAGACAAAGATCCCCCATATAGCCTTAACAGACTGTAGGGGCAAGTGCTGTTAGCGAGCAGCTATGAAGGCCGAAACGGTACACGAGGGGGTGGGTGGCCAGCACCACGCCCGACCGCCTTTGTCTCCCTAGTGGCGATGTTTACTACACACCGCACCAGGTATTAATTTGAGGCCGAGTCGACCTAGGGGAGGCCCGGGACCGGTTCAGATAATCGTCACCGGTGTTGGCCGCGAGCGGGAATCGAACCCGGGTCGCCAGGTTCATAGCGCGGCATAGCGCTAACCGCTGCACCACCACTCCCCACCAGTGCACACGTAGACACACGTACATAGACACACACGTACGTAGACACACGTACGTAGACACACACGTACGTAGACACACGTACGTAGACACACACGTACGTAGACACACGTACGTAGACAGACGTACGTAGACACACACGTGCGTAAACACACACGTACGTAGACACACACGTACGTAGACACACACGTACGTAGACACACGTACGTAGACACACGTACGTAGACACACGTGTACGTAGACACACGTGTACGTAGACACACGTGTACGTAGACACACACGTACGTAGACACACGTACGTAGACACACGTACGTAGACACACACACGTAGACACACACACACGTAGACACACACACACGTAGACACACACGTACGTAGACACACACGTACGTAGACACACGTACGTAGACACACGTGCGTAGACACACGTGCGTAGACACACGTGCGTAGACACACACGCGTAGACACACACGTACGTAGACACACACGTACGTAGACACACATGTACGTAGACACACACGTACGTAGACACACGTACGTAGACACACGTACGTAGACACACGTACGTAGACACACGTACGTAGACACACGTACGTAGACACACGTGCGTAGACACACGTACGTAGACACACGTACGTAGACACACACGTACGTAGACACACACGTACGCAGACACACGTGTACGTAGACACACGTACGTAGACACACACGTACATAGACACACGTAGACACACGTACGTAGACACACGTACATAGACACACGTGCGTAGACACACACGTACGTAGACACACGTGCGTAGACACACACGTACGTAGACACACACGTACGTAGACACACACGTACGTAGACACACGTACGTAGACACACGTACGTAGACACGTACATAGACACACGTACGTAGACACACGTACGTAGACACGTACGTAGACACACGTACGTAGAGACACGTACGTAGACACACACGTACGTAGACACACACGTACGTAGACACACGTACGTAGACACACACGTACGTAGACACACACGTACGTAGACACACACGTACGTAGACACACACGTACGTAGACACACGTACGTAGACACACGTGTACGTAGACACACGTACGTAAACACACACGTACGTAGACACACGTGTACGTAGACACACGTACGTAGACACACGTACGTAGACACACACGTACGTAGACACACGTACGTAGACACACACGTACGTAGACACACGTACGTAGACACACGTACGTAGACACACACACGTAGACACACACGTACGTAGACACACACGTACATAGACACACGTGCGTAGACACACGTACGTAGACACACACGTACGTAGACACACACGTACATAGACACACGTAGACACACGTAGACACACGTGTACGTAGACACACGTAGACACACGTAGACACACGTAGACACACACGTAGACACACGTAGACACACGTACGTAGACACACGTACGTAGAGACACACGCGTACGTAGACACAAAATCGAACCACGGGGGGCGAAATCAAAGCGTGGATCGTGATTGCGGGGGTCGTGTCGGTGGCTGTGAGCTGGGAATCCAACTCGAGTCTGTGCTGGGTTCGTAACACAGCGTAGCGCTAACCGCTGCACCACCGCTCGCCCCACATACGCCAAGGCACACAAACTCCACTGCTGGATGAAGATCAACGCGGTGGTGGTGGTGGTGGTGGCGGCGGTGATTGTGTCTGTCTCTCAGTGTAATTCCCAGCATGCACCTCTCATCACAAGACAAGAGGACGGACCGAATCGGTATTTATACTGGAGGGATTCAATGGGCTCTTGTTCACGGATGTACACACAGAGACACGCAGGCAGAGACACAGACAGAGACACAGACAGAGACACAGAGACACACACAGAGACACAGACAGAGACACAGACAGAGACACAGAGACACACACAGACAGTCAGCCCCTCACCTGCTTGAGACAGACACAGACAGAGACACACACACACACACAGACACAGACAGAGACACACACACAGACACAGACAGAGACACACACACAGACACAGACAGAGACACACACAGACACACACACACACAGACACACACACACAGACACACACACACACAGAGACACACACACACACACAGAGACACACACAGACACACACACACACACAGACACACACACACACACAGACACACACACACACACAGACACACACACACACACACAGACACACACACACACAGACACACACACACACACACAGACACACACACAGACAGTCACACACACAGACAGTCACACACACACACAGACACACACACAGACAGTCACACACACAGACACACACACACAGACACACACACACAGTCACACACACACACACAGACACACACACACACAGACACACACACACACAGACAGTCAGCCCCTCACCTGCTTGAGACACACACACACAGACACACACACACACACAGACAGTCACACACACACACAGTCACACACACACACAGTCACACACACAGACACACACACACAGACACACACACACACAGTCACACACACAGACACACACACACACACAGTCACACACACACACAGACACACACACACACACAGACACACACACACAGTCACACACACACACAGACACACACACACACAGACACACACACTACACTACACACTACACCACACACACACACACAGACACACACACACACAGACACACACACACAGTCACACACACACTACACACACACACACAGTCACACACACACACACAGACACACTACACTACACACACACAGACACACACAGACACACACACACAGACACACTACACACTACACTACACACACACAGTCACACACACACACTACACTATACACTACACTATACACTACACTACACACACAGACACACTACACTACACTACACACTACACTACACACTACACTACACACAGACACACACACACACTACACACACACACACATACACACACATACACACACACACTACACAGACACACACACACTACACTACACACACACAGACACACACAGTCACACACACACACACAGTCACACACACACTACACACACAGACACTACACTACACACTACACTACACACTACACTACACACTACACTACACACTACACTACACACTACACTATACACTACACTATACACTACACTATACACTACACTACACACTACACACACACTACACTACACACTACACACACACTACACACACACTACACTACACACTACACTACACACTACACTACACTACACACTACACTACACACTACACTACACACTACACTACACACTACACTATACACACTACACTACACACTACACTATACACACTACACTACACACACACTACACTACACACACACTACACACACACTACACTACACACTACACTACACTACACACACTACACACTACACTACACTACACACTACACTACACACACACTGTCACACACTACACTACTATACACTACACTACACACTACACTACACACTACACTACACTATACACTACACTACACACTACACTACACACAGTCAGTCAGCCCCTTACCTGCTTGAGACCGCGGTTTTTGATGTTCAGTTTCTTTCCGTTGACGAAGTCAAAAAGTTTTCCGTACTCCTCACTACGGGCGAGACACGGGGGAGACACGGGGGAGACACGGGGGAGACACGGGGGAGACGTGGGGAGACACGGGGGAGACACGGGGGAGACGTAGGGAGACACGGGGGAGACACGGGGGAGACACGGGGGAGACACGATGGAGACACGGGGGAGACACGGGGGAGACACGGGGGAGACGTGGGGAGACACGGGGGAGACACGGGGGAGACACGGGGGAGACACGGGGGACACGGGGGAGACACGATGGAGACACGGGGGAGACACGGGGGAGACACGGGGGAGACACGGGGAGACACGGGGGAGACACGGGGGAGACACGGGGGAGACATGGGAGGAGGGGAGACACGGGGGAGACACGGGGGAGACACGGGAGGAGGGGAGACACGAGGGAGACATGATGGAGACACGAGGGAGACACGGGGGAGACACGGGGGAGACACGGGGGAGACACGGGGAGACACGGGGGAGACACGGGGGAGACACGGGGGAGACACGGGAGGAGGGGAGACACGAGGGAGACACGGGGGAGACACGGGGGAGACACGGGGAGACACGGGGGAGACACGGGGGAGACACGGGGGAGACATGGGAGGAGGGGAGACACGGGGGAGACACGGGGGAGACACGGGAGGAGGGGAGACACGAGGGAGACATGATGGAGACACGAGGGAGACACGGGGGAGACACGGGGGAGACGCAGGGGAGACGCGGGGAGATATGGGGAGACATGGGGGAGACACGGGGGAGACGCAGGGGAGACACGAGGGAGACACGGGGGAGACACAGGGGAGACGCGGGGAGATATGAGGAGACACGGGGAGACACGGGGGAGACACGGGGGAGACACGGGGGAGACATGGGAGGAGGGGAGACACGGGGGAGACACGGGGGAGACACGGGAGGAGGGGAGACACGAGGGAGACATGATGGAGACACGAGGGAGACACGGGGGAGACACGGGGGAGACACGGGGAGACACGGGGGAGACACGGGGGAGACACGGGGGAGACACGGGGGAGACACGGGAGGAGGGGAGACACGAGGGAGACACGGGGGAGACACGGGGGAGACACGGGGAGACACGGGGGAGACACGGGGGAGACACGGGGGAGACACGGGAGGAGGGGAGACACGGGGGAGACACGGGGGAGACACGGGGGAGACACACAGAGACACGGGGGAGACACGGGGGAGACACGGGGGAGACACGGGGGAGACACGATGGAGACACGGGGGAGACACGGGGGGGACACGGGGGAGACACGGGAGGAGGGGAGACACACAGAGACACGATGGAGACACGATGGAGACACGGGGGAGACACGGGGGAGACACACAGAGAGAAGTTACAAAACAAAGTAAATTTTGCTGTGTAGGAACCTCCTGGTGGTTACCACACCAGCACACAGGGGATTATTATTATTGTTGTTGTTGTTGTGTCCGTCCGTCTTGCATTCAAACATGGGTGGGGAGGGGCTGGGTGGGGAGGGGCTGGGTGGGGTGGGAGGGGCTGGGTGGGGGGTGGGAGGGGAGGGGCTGGGTGGGGTGGGAGGGGCTGGGTGTGGGGGAGGGGCTGGGTGGGGGGTGGGAGGGGAGGGGCTGGGTGTGAGGGAGGGGCTGGGTGGGGGGGAGGGGCTGGGTGGGGGGTGGGAGGGGAGGGGCTGGGTGTGGGGGAGGGGCTGCTCACGCCAGGCCTGTGGCCCGCCCTCACAGTGGGGGGGGGGACATCTCGTGCTGAACGCAACAACATGACCATGACCACCATCATCACCACCACCACCACCATCACCACTACCACCATGACCATCACTACCACCATCACCACCACCATCATCACTACCACCATGACCATCACTACCACCATCACCACCATCACCACCATCACCATCATCACCACCACCATCACCATGACCACCACCACCATCACCATCACCACCACCATCACCATCACCACCATCACCACCATCACCATCACCACCACCACCATCACCACCATCACCACCATCACCACCATCACCACCACCATCACCACCACCATCACCACCACCACCATCACCACCACCACCACCACCATCACCACCACCATCACCACCACCACCACCATCACCACCACCACCATCACCACCACCACCATCACCACCACCATCACCACCACCACCACCATCACTACCACCATCACTACCACCATCACCACCATCACCACCATCACCACCATCACCACCACCATCACCACCATCACCACCAGCACCACCACCACCATCACCACCACCATCACCACCATCACCACCACCACCACCACCATCACCACCACCACCATCACCACCACCACCATCACCACCACCATCACCACCATCACCACCATCACCACCACCATCACCACCATCACCACCAGCACCACCAGCACCACCAGCACCACCATCACCACCACCATCACCACCACCACCACCATCACCACCACCATCACCATCACCACCACCATCACCACTACCACCACCATCACCACCACCACCACCATCACCATCACCACCACCACCACCACCATCACCATCACCACTACCACCATCACCACCACCATCACCACCACCACCACCATCACCATCACCACCACCATCACCACTACCACCATCACCACCACCATCACCACCACCACCACCATCACCACCATCACCACCACCATCACCACCATCACCACCATCACCACCATCACCACCATCACCACCACCATCACCACCATCACCACCACCATCACCACCAGCACCAGCACCACCACCAGCACCACCACCAGCACCACCACCACCAGCACCACCACCACCAGCACCACCACCATCACCACCACCATCACCATCACCACCACCATCACCACCACCATCACCACCACCACCACCATCACCATCACCACCACCATCACCACTACCACCACCATCACCACCACCACCACCATCACCATCACCACCACCACCACCACCATCACCACTACCACCATCACCACCACCATCACCACCACCATCACCATCACCACCACCATCACCACTACCACCATCACCACCACCATCACCACCACCATCACCACCACCACCACCATCACCACCATCACCACCATCACCACCATCACCACCATCACCACCACCATCACCACCATCACCACCACCATCACCACCAGCACCAGCACCACCACCAGCACCACCACCAGCACCACCACCACCAGCACCACCACCACCAGCACCACCACGTGATGCTGCTGGTGGTGGTGGTGACCCCGTTGTTGTTGTTGTTGATGTTGATGAACCTGACCATCGACCCAGCCACCCAAACGCGTCACTCCCAGCAGCCTCCTCCCTCCCGCAGGATGAACGTGCTCCTTTCAGGTAGCCTTAACAGACGGGAGGAGGGAGCTTCCTCCCTCTCCTACCTCACCACAGCCCTCACCACAGCCCTCACCACCACGGCCCTCACCACCACGGCCCTCACCACCACGGCCCTCACCACGGCCCTCACCACCACGGCCCTCACCACCACGGCCCTCACCACCACGGCCCTCACCACGGCCCTCACCACGGCCCTCACCACCACGGCCCTCACCACCACAGCCCTCACCACGGCCCTCACCACCACGGCCCTCACCACCACGGCCCTCACCACGGCCCTCACCACGGCCCTCACCACCACGGCCCTCACCACGGCCCTCACCACGGCCCTCACCACGGCCCTCACCACCACGGCCCTCACCACCACGGCCCTCACCACGGCCCTCACCACGGCCCTCACCACCACGGCCCTCACCACGGCCCTCACCACCACGGCCCTCACCACAGCCCTCACCACCACGGCCCTCACCACCACGGCCCTCACCACCACGGCCCTCACCACGGCCCTCACCACCACGGCCCTCACCACGGCCCTCGCCAAAGACAAAGCTTCCCAAATGTAGCCTGTAACAACAGACTGCAGGGGCAAGTGCTGTTAGCAGCAGCAGGGCCGCCTATGAAGGGGGTGGGTGGCCAGCAAACCACGCCCGGCCGCCTTTGTATCCCCGGTGGCGATGTTCGCTACCCACAGCCGCACCAGGTACTCATTTGAGGCCGAGTCGACCTAGGGGAGGCCCGGGACCGGTTCAGATGATCGTCACCGGTGGCGTTGGCCGTGAGCGGGAATCGAACTCCGTTCGCCAGGTTCATAGCGTAGCGAAGCGCTAACCACTACACTACCGCTACACCACACTCACCACTCACACCACACCACTCACACCACACCACTCACACCACACCACTCACACCACACCACACTCACCACACACCGCTCACCACACACCGCTCACCACACACCGCTCACCACACACCGCTCACCACACACCGCTCACCACACACCGCTCCCCACACTCACACCACTCACCACACACCACTCACCACGCTCACCACGCTCACCACGCTCACCACGCTCACCGCTCCCTCACCGCTCGATGCTGCTGAAGGTGTAGACGTGGCCCTGACGCGTCTCCACCTCAAAGTCGAACGAACGGGTGGTGGTGTTGCCGCGAGCGAAGTTGACGCTGGAGATCTCGTCAAAGCGCACGTGTATCGGTGGCTTGTGGACGTAGATGAAGCCTCTCTCCAGCGGGTACAGAAAGCCCGAGCTCGCCTTGTACGAGCACGTGATGCAGCTCGAACCCGCGTGTCTGTGAGTCATTCATAGACACGGTGGTACACGCACGGACAGACAGACAGGCAGACACACACACAGGCAGTGTACACACACACACAGACAGACAGAGTCTCACAGACAGGCAGTGTACACACAGCGGGGTACAGAAAGCACCGGCTAGCCTTGTACAAGCACGTGATGCAGCCAGACCACGTGTGTCTGTGAGTCATTCATAGACACGGTGGTACACACACGGACAGACAGTCTCACAGACAGGCACACACACACACAGACAGGCAGTGTACACACAGCGGGGTACAGAAAGCCCGAGCTAGCCTTGTACGAACATGTGTGTGTTTGTGTGTGTCTGTGTGCGTGTCTGTGTGCGTGTCTGTGCGCGTGTCTCTGTGTGTGAGTGTCTCTGTGTGTGAGTGTCTCTGTGTGTGAGTGTCTCTGCGTGTCTCCGTTTGTCTCTGTGCGAGTGTCTCTGTGCGAGTGTCTCTGTGCGAGTGTCTCTGTGTGTGAGGGTCTCTGTGCGTGAGTGTCTCTGTGCGTGAGTGTCTCTGTGCGTGGGTGTCTCTGTGTGTGAGTGTCTCTGTGTGTGAGTGTCTCTGTGTGCGAGTGTCTCTGTGTGCGAGTGTCTCTGTGTGCGAGTGTCTCCGTGTGTCTCTGCGCGTCTCTGTGCGTGTGTCTCTCTGCGTGTCTCCGCGTCTCTGTGTGTGTCCGTGTGTCTGTCCGTGCGTGTCTCTGTGTGTGAGTGTCTCTGTGTGTGAGTGTCTCTGTGTGTGAGTGTCTCTGTGTGTGAGTGTCTCTGTGTGTGAGTGTCTCTGTGTGTGAGTGTCTCTGTGTGTGTGTCTCTGTGTGAGTGCGTCTGTCCGTGCGTGTCTCTGTGTGTGAGTGTCTCTGTGTGTGAGTGTCTCTGTGTGTGAGTGTCTCTGTGTGTGAGTGTCTCTGTGTGTCTCTGCGCATCTCTGTGCGTGCGTCTCTTTGCGTGCGTGTCTCTGCGTGTCTCCGCGTCTCTGTGTGTGTCCGTGTGTCTGTCCGCACGTACCCCAGGAAGGTGCCAGGCACGGTGATCTTGCGGTTGACCAGCGCCTTCATGATGCGCCCCACCAGCTCGTGCAAGGGTCCCGTCATCTCCATCTGCAGCTTGCCCTCAAACCGCTTAGCCAGCTCCTCCCTGCGCTCACGCACACACACACACAGGTACACACACACACACAGGTACACACACACACAGGTACACACACACACACAGTTACACACACACACACAGTTACACACACACAGGTACACACACACACACAGTTACACACACACACACAGGTACACACACACAGTTACACACACACACAGGTACACACACACACAGGTACACACACACAGGTACACACACACAGGTACACACACACACAGTTACACACACACACACAGGTACACACACACACACAGTTACACACACACACACAGTTACACACACACAGGTACACACACACACACAGTTACACACAGGTACACACACACAGGTACACACACACACAGGTACACACACACAGGTACACACACACAGGTGTACACACACACAGGTACACACACACACAGGTACACACACACACAGGTACACACACACACAGGTACACACACACACAGGTACACACACACAGGTACACACACACACAGGTACACACACACACAGGTACACACACACACAGTTACACACAGGTACACACACACACAGGTACACACACACACAGGTACACACACACACAGGTACACACACACACACACAGGTACACACACACACAAAGACAAAGATCCCCCATATAGCCTTAACAGACTGTAGGGGCAAGTGCTGTTAGCGAGCACCTATGAAGGCCGAAACGGTACTCGAGGGGGTGGGTGGCCAGCACCACGCCCGACCGCCTTTGTCTCCCCAGTGGCGATGTTTACACACCGCACCAGGTACTCATTTGAGGCTGAGTCGACCTAGGGGAGGCCCGGGACCGGTTCAGATAATCGTCACTGGTGTTGGCCGTGAGCGGGAATCGAACCCGGGTCGCCAGGTTCATAGTGCAGGGTAGCGCTAACCGCTACACTACCGCTCCCCACACACACACACACACAGGTACACACACACACACAGGTACACACACACACACAGGTACACACACACACACAGGTACACACAGTTACACACACACACAGGTACACACACACACAGGTACACACACACACAGGTACACACACACACAGGTACACACACAGGTACACACAGGTACACACACACACAGGTACACACACACACAGTTACACACACACACACAGGTACACACACACACAGGTACACACACACACAGGTACACACACACACAGGTACACACAGACAGGTATATACACACACAGGTACACACACACACACACACAGGTACACACACAGGTACACACACACACAGTTACACACACACAGGTACACACACACACACAGTTACACACACACAGGTACACACACACACACAGGTACACACACACACACAGGTACACACACACACAGGTACACATACACACAGTTAAACACACACACACACAGGTACACACACACACACAGTTACACACACACAGGTACACACACAGTTACATACACACACACAGGTACACACACACAGGTACACACACACACACACAGGTACACACACACACACAGGTACACACACACACAGGTACACACACACACACAGGTACACACACACACAGGTACACACACACACAGGTACACACACAGGTACACACACACACAGGTACACACACAGTTACACACACACACAGTTACACACACACAGGTACACACAGGTACACACACACACAGGTACACACACACACAGGTACACACACACACACAGGTACACACACACACACAGGTACACACACACACACAGGTACACACACACACAGTTACACACAGGTACACACACACACAGTTACACACAGGTACACACACACACAGGTACACACACACACACAGGTACACACACACACACAGGTACACACACATACACACACACACACACAGGTACACACACACAGGTACACACACACACAGGTACACACACAGGTACACACACACACAGGTACACACACACACAGGTACACACACAGGTACACACACACACACAGTTACACACACACACAGGTACACACACACACAGGTACACACACACACAGGTACACACACACACAGGTACACACAGACAGGTATATACACACACAGGTACACACACACACAGGTACACACACACAGGTACACACACACAGGTACACACACACACACACACAGTTACACACACACAGGTACACAAACACAGGTACACACACACACACACAGGTACACACACACACAGGTACACACACACAGGTACACACACACACAGGTACATACACACTGGTACACACACAGATACATACACACTGGTACACAAAGACAAAGATCCCCCGTATAGCCTTAACAGACTGTAGGGGCAAGTGCTGACACTGGTACACACACACTAGTACACACACACAGGTACACACACACACACAGTTACACACACACAGGTACACACACAGCTACATACACAGGTACACACACACAGCTGCATACACAGGTACACACACAGGTACACATGCATGTACACACACACATGTACACACACACAGGTACACACACACACACAGGTACACACACACACACATGTACACACACACAGGTACACACACACACACACAGGTACACACACACACACAGGTACACACACACACACGTACACACACACATGTACACACACACAGGTACACACACACAGGTACACACACACACAGGTACATACACACACAGGTACATACACACACAGCTACACACACACACACAGGTACACACACACACAGTTACATACACACACAGGTACACACACAGGTACACACACACACAGTTACATACACACACGTACACAGGTACACACACGTACACAGGTACACACACACACACAGGTACACACACACAGGTACACACACAGGTACACACACACACAGGTACACACACACACAGGTACACACACGTACACACACACACACACAGTTACACACACACACACAGGTACACACACACACAGGTACACACACACAGGTACACACACACAGGTACACACACACATGCACACACACACACACACATGCACACACACAGGTACACACACACACATGCACACACACAGGAACACACACACCGGTACACACACACAGGTACACACAGACAGGTACATACACACACGTACACACACAGGTACACACACAGGTACACACACAAGTACAGGTACACACACAAAGACAAAGCTCCCCCATATAGCCTGTAACAGACTGTAGGGGCAAGTGCTGTTAGTAGCGAGTAGCAGCAGCACCGCCTATGAAGGGGGTGGGTGGCCAGCACCACGCCCGGCCGCCTTTGTCTCCCCAGTGACGATGTTTACTACACACCGCACCAGGTACTCATTTGGAGGCTGAGTCGACCTAGGCGATGCCCAGGACCGGTTCAGATAATCGTCACCGGTGTTGGCCGTGAGCGGGAATCGAACTTGGGTCGCCAGGTTCGTAGTGCAGCGTAGCGCTAACCGCTGCACCACCACTCCCCACACACACTGGCACATAGTTATAAACAAACACACATACTGTGTGCGAGTATGAGAAAGTGGATGTACACGTGTGTGAGCGAGTATGTGAGTGTATAAGTGAGTGTATAAGTGAGTGAATGTGTGAGTGTGTGAGTGTATGAGTGAGTGTATGAGTGAGTATGTGAGTGTATGAGTGAGTGAATGAGTGTATGAGTGAGTGTATGAGTGTGTGAGTGTATGAGTGAGTGTATGAGTGAGTATGAGTGAGTGTATGAGTGATTGAGTGTATGAGTGAGTATGAGTGAGTGTTTGAGTGAGTGTATGAGTGACTGAGTGTATGAGTGTATGAGCGAGTGTATGAGCGAGTGAGTGTATGAGTGAGTGTATGACTGAGTGAATGAGTGAGTGAATGAGTGTATGAGTGAGTGTATGAGTGAGTGTATGAGTGAGTGTATGAGTGAGTGAGTGTATGAGTGAGTATGAGTGAGTGTATGAGTGACTGAGTGTATGAGTGTATGAGTGAGTGTATGAGTGAGTGTATGAGTGTATGAGTGAGTGTATGAGTGAGTGTATGAGTGAGTGTATGAGTGAGTGTATGAGTGAGTGAGTGTATGAGTATGAGTGAGTATGAATGACAGTATGAGTGAGTGTATGAGCGAGTGTATGAGTGTATGAGTGAGTGTATGAGTGAGTGTATGAGTGAATGAGTGTATGAGTGAGTGTATGAGCGAGTGTACGAGTGAATGAGTGTATGAGTGAGTGTATGAGCGAGTGTATGAGCGAGAGTATGAGCGAGTGTATGAGCGTGTGTATGAGAGAGTGTATGAGAGACTGAGTGTATGAATGAGTGTATGAGTGAGTGTATGAGTGAGTGTATGAGTGACTGTACGAGTGAATGAGTGTATGAGTGAGTGTATGAGTGAGTGTATGAGCGAGTGTATGAGCGAGTGTATGAGCGAGTGTATGAGCGAGTGTATGAGCGAGAGTATGAGCGAGTGTATGAGCGAGTGTATGAGCGAGTGTATGAGTGAGTGTATGAGTGAGTGTATGAGCGAGTGTATGAGTGAATGAGTGTATGAGTGAGAGTATGAGTGAGTGTATGAGCGAGTGTATGAGCGAGTGTATGAACGAGTGTATGAGTGAGTGTATGAGTGAGTGTATGAGTGAATGAGTGTATGAGTGAGTGTATGAGCGAGTGTATGAGTGAGAGTATGAGTGAGTGTATGAGCGAGTGCATGAGTGAGTGTATGAGCGAGTGTATGAGTGAGTGAATGAGTGAGTGTATGAGTGACTAAGTGTATGAGCGAGTGCATGAGTGAGTGTATGAGCGAGTGCATGAGCGAGTGCATGAGCGAGAGTATGAGTGAGAGTATGAGCGAGTGTATGAGCGAGTGTATGAGTGAGTGTATGAGCGAGTGCATGAGTGAGTGCATGAGTGAGTGTATGAGTGACTAAGTGTATGAGCGAGTGCATGAGTGAGTGTATGAGCGAGTGCATGAGCGAGAGTATGAGTGAGAGTATGAGCGAGTGTATGAGCGAGTGTATGAGCGAGTGTATGAGTGAGAGTATGAGTGAGTGTATGAGCGAGTGTATGAGTGAGAGTATGAGTGAGTGTATGAGCGAGTACATGAGCGAGTGTATGGATGAGTGTATGAGCGAGTGCATGAGCGAGTGCATGAGTGAGTGTATGAGTGAGTGTATGAGTGACTAAGTGTATGAGCGAGTGCATGAGTGAGTGTATGAGTGAGTATATGAGCGAGTGTATGAGCGAGTGCATGAGCGAGTGTATGAGTGAGAGTATGAGTGAGTGTATGAGCGAGTTTATGAGCGAGTGTATGAGCGAGTGCATGAGTGAGTGCATGAGCGAGTGCATGAGCGAGTGTATGAGCGAGTGCATGAGCGAGTGCATGAGCGAGTGCATGAGCGAGTGTATGAGCGAGTGTATGAGCGAGTGTATGAGTGACTGAGTGTATGAGTGAGTGTATGAGTGAGTGTATGAGCGAGTGTATGAGCGAGTGTATGAGCGAGTGTATGAGCGAGTGTATGGGTGTATGAGCGAGTGCATGAGCGAGTGTATGAGCGAGTGCATGAGCGAGTGTATGGATGTACACGTACTCGGACATGCTAATGGTGAGTGTGTCGGTCTCGTCTTTGCTGAAGAGCAGGATAAGGAAGTGGTACCGAGTCTGCCCCTGTTTGATTGGCGGGTCCAGACTCACCTGCAAAGATAAAGGCAAAGGTTCGCCATGTAGCCTTTAACAGACTGTAGGGGCAAGTGCTGTTAGTAGCGAGTAGCAGCAATAGCAGCGCCTATAACCACACAAAGGTCCCCCGTGTAGCCTCTAACAGACTGTAGGGGCAAGTGCTGTTAGTAGCGAGTAGCAGCAGCAGCACCTATGAAGGCTGCCGACACTGAGGTATACACAGAGGGGGTGGGTGGCCAGCACCACCACCTCCATCGCCCCCTTCACCACCACCACCACCGCCACCTCCACCACCACCTCCATCGCCCCCTTCACCACCACCTCCATATCCCCCTTCACCACCACCTCCATATCCCCCACCACCACCACCTCCATCGCCCCCTTCACCACCACCTTCACCACCACCACCTCCATCGCCCCCTTCACCACCACCACCACCACCATCTCCCCCTTCACCACCACCTCCATATCCCCCATCACCACCACCTCCATATCCCCCATCACCACCACCACCACCACCTCCCCCATCACCACCACCACCACCATCTCCCCCATCACCACCACCACCACCATCTCCCCCATCACCACCACCACCACCATCTCCCCCATCACCAACTCCACCACCATCTCCCCCATCACCACCACCACCATCTCCCCCATCGTTCACCACAAAGAAGATCTGCCGCTGGTCCTTGTGCGGCAGCAGGAAGAGACGCAGGACGGTGGTGTAGGGGATCTCTACCCCTCTCTCTCCTCCTCCTCCATCTCCCTCACCAACTACACCACCATCACCTCCTTCTCAACCACCACCACCTCCTCCTCCATCTCCCTCACCACCTCCACCACCATCACCTCCTTCTCCACCACCATCACCTCCTCCTCCATCTCCCTCACCAACTACACCACCATCACCATCACCTCCTTCTCCACCATCATCACCTCCTCCATCTCCCTCACCAACTACACCATCATCACCTCCTTCTCCACCACCACCACCACCACCACCATCTCCACCACCACCACCTCCACCATCTCCCCCGCCGCTCACCACAAAGAAGATCTGCCGCTGGTCCTTGTGCGGCAGCAGGAAGAGACGCAGGACGGTGGTGTAGGGGGTCTCTACCCCTCTCTCTCTCCTCCTCCATCTCCCTCACCAACTACACCACCATCACCTCCTTCTCCACCACCACCACCTCCTCCTCCATCTCCACCACCACCACCATCACCTCCTTCTCCACCATCACCACCTCCTCCTCCATCTCCACCACCACCACCACCATCACCTCCTTCTCCACCATCATCACCTCCTCCATCTCCCTCACCAACTACACCACCATCACCATCACCTCCTTCTCCACCATCATCACATCCTCCATCTCCCTCACCAACTACACCACCATCACCTCCACCACCATCACCTCCTCCTCCATCTCCCTCACCAACTACACCACCATCACCTCCTCCTCCATCTTCCTCACCAACTACACCACCATCACCATCACCTCCTTCTCCACCATCATCACCTCCTCCTCCATCTCCCTCACCACCTCCCCCACCACCACCATCTCCCCCGCCGCTCACCACAAAGAAGATCTGCCGCTGGTCCTTGTGCGGCAGCAGGAAGAGACGCAGGACGGTGGTGTAGGGGATCTCTACCCCTCTCTCTCCTCCTCCTCCATCTCCCTCACCAACTACACCACCATCACCTCCTTCTCAACCACCACCACCTCCTCCTCCATCTCCCTCACCACCTCCACCACCATCACCTCCTTCTCCACCACCATCACCTCCTCCTCCATCTCCCTCACCAACTACACCACCATCACCATCACCTCCTTCTCCACCATCATCACCTCCTCCATCTCCCTCACCAACTACACCACCATCACCTCCACCACCATCACCTCCTCCTCCATCTCCCTCACCAACTACACCACCATCACCTCCTTCTCCACCACCACCACCTCCTCCTCCATCTCCACCACCACCACCACCATCACCTCCTTCTCCACCATCATCACCTCCTCCATCTCCCTCACCAACTACACCACCATCACCATCACCTCCTTCTCCACCATCATCACATCCTCCATCTCCCTCACCAACTACACCACCATCACCTCCACCACCATCACCTCCTCCTCCATCTCCCTCACCAACTACACCACCATCACCTCCTCCTCCATCTTCCTCACCAACTACACCACCATCACCATCACCTCCTTCTCCACCATCATCACCTCCTCCTCCATCTCCCTCACCACCTCCCCCACCACCACCATCTCCCCCGCCGCTCACCACAAAGAAGATCTGCCGCTGGTCCTTGTGCGGCAGCAGGAAGAGACGCAGGACGGTGGTGTAGGGGGTCTCTACCCCTCTCTCTCTCCTCCTCCATCTCCCTCACCAACTACACCACCATCACCTCCTTCTCCACCACCACCACCTCCTCCTCCATCTCCACCACCACCACCATCACCTCCTTCTCCACCATCACCACCTCCTCCTCCATCTCCACCACCACCACCACCATCACCTCCTTCTCCACCATCATCACCTCCTCCATCTCCCTCACCAACTACACCACCATCACCATCACCTCCTTCTCCACCATCATCACATCCTCCATCTCCCTCACCAACTACACCACCATCACCTCCACCACCATCACCTCCTCCTCCATCTCCCTCACCAACTACACCACCATCACCTCCTCCTCCATCTTCCTCACCAACTACACCACCATCACCATCACCTCCTTCTCCACCATCATCACCTCCTCCTCCATCTCCCTCACCACCTCCCCCACCACCACCATCTCCCCCGCCGCTCACCACAAAGAAGATCTGCCGCTGGTCCTTGTGCGGCAGCAGGAAGAGACGCAGGACGGTGGTGTAGGGGATCTTGTAGTCGAAGGTTTTGCCGTGCAGGTGCAGGAAGCTGGGGTAGATGCGGATGTCGTAGCGGCCGCGCGGGGTGAGGCACTGGAGTTCGCGGAAGATGCACAGAGCGTCGCCCGTCGCCTGGATCACGTCCGCCTTGGACAGCACGCTCTGGGAGAACACCTGGCACCGACACCGTCAGCAACATCGTCAGCATCATCGTCAACAACAAAACAAAGTCATTAACATCGTCGTCAACATCGTCAGCATCGTCAGCATCGTCAACATCATCGTCAACATCGTCATCAACAGCGTCAACAGCAAAACAAAGTCATTGACATCATCATCAACATCATCATCGTCAGCATCGTCAGCATCGTCAGCATCGTCAGCATCGTCAGCATCGTCAACATCATCGTCAACAGCGTCAACAGCAAAACAAAGTCATTGACATCATCATCAACATCATTGTCAACATCATCAACATCGTCAGCATCGTCAGCATCGTCAACATCATCGTCAACAGCGTCAACAGCAAAACAAAGTCATTGACATCATCATCAACATCATTGTCAACATCATCAACATCGTCAGCATCGTCAGCATCGTCAGCATCGTCAGCATCGTCAACATCGTCAACAGCGTCAACAGCAAAACAAAGTCATTGACATCATCATCAACATCAACATCATCGTCAACATCGTCAGCAGCGTCAGCATCGTCAGCATCGTCAGCATCGTCAACATCATCGTCAACAGCGTCAACAACAAAACAAAGTCATTGACATCATCATCAACATCATCGTCAACATCGTCAGCTTCGTCAACATCGTCAACATCGTCAGCAGCGTCAGCATCGTCAACAGCAAAACAAAGTCATTGACATCATCATCAACATCATCGTCAGCATCGTCAACAGCAAAACAAGGGCATTGACATCATCATCAACATCATCATCGTTATCATCATCAACATCATCATCCATATCAGTCATCAACATCATCATCGTTATCAGTCATCAACATCGTCAACAGCAAAAGTCATTGACATCATCAACATCATCATTATCAGTCATCAACATCACCGACATCGTCGTCATCATCGACTTCACAACCACCTCCACTGTGACCTCACCAATCACCACCACCACCATCATTATCACCACCATCATAATCACCACCATCATTATCACCACCACCATCATTATCACCACCACCATCATTATCACCATCACCACCATCATTATCACCACCATCATTATCACCACCACCACCATTATCACCATCACCACCACCATCATTATCACCACCACCATCATTATCACCATCACCACCATCATTATCACCACCGCCACCATCATTATCACCACCACCACCACCATCATTATCACCACCACCACCATTATCACCACCACCACCATTATCACCACCACCACCATTATCACCACCACCACCATTATCACCACCACCACCATCATCATCATCACCACCACCATCATTATCACCACCACCATCATTATCACCACTACCATTATCACCACCACCACCACCATTATCACCACCACCATTATCACCACCACCATTATCACCACCACCATTATCACCACCACCACCACCATTATCACCATCACCACCATCATTATCACCATAACCACCATCATTATCACCATCACCACCATCATTATCACCATCACCACCACCATCATTATCACCATCACCACCACCATCATCATCACCATCACCACCACCATCACCACCAGCATCACCACCACCATCACCACCACCATCACCACCACCACCACCACCATCACCATCATTATCACCATCACCACCACCATCATCATTATCACCATCACCACCACCATTATCATCATCACCATCATTATCATCAACACCACCACCATCATTATCACCATCAACACCACCATCATCACAACCATTATCATTATCACCATCACCACCACCATCATTATCATCATCACCACCACCACCATCATTATCACCATCACCACCACCATCATTATCATCATCACCACCACCATCATTATCACCATCACCACTACCACCACCACCATCATTATCACCATCACCACCACCATCATTATCACCATCACCACCACCATCATCATTATCACCATCACCACCCCCACCACCCTCACCCCCACCACCCTCACCACCACCACCCTCACCACCACCACCACCCTCACCACCACCACCCTCACCACCACCACCCTCACCACCACCACCCTCACCACCACCACCACCACCCTCACCACCACCACCCTCACCACCACCACCCTCACCACCACCACCCTCACCCTCACCACCACCGCCCTCACCACCACCGCCCTCACCACCACCACCCTCACCACCACCCTCACCACCACCACCACCCTCACCACCACCCTCACCACCACCACCACCACCCTCACCACCACCCTCACCACCACCCTCACCACCACCCTCACCACCACCACCCTCACCACCACCCTCACCGCCACCACCACCACCCTCACCACCCTCACCCTCACCACCACCCTCACCACCACCCTCACCACCACCCTCACTCACCTCCACAGCGTCCGCCCCTCCCTCCTGGCCGGGAGGCACGTAGAAGCGCACCTCCATGAGGGAGACATATGCATCATCGTTCTGGTGGAACTCCAGCGTCACCTCCCTCACCCTCACCACCCTCACCCTCACCACCACCACCACCCTCACCACCACCACCCTTACCACCACATCATCTCCACCCTCACCACCATCACCACCACCCTCACCCTCACCTCCACCCTCACCTCCTCTCACTCACCACCACCACCCTCACCACCACCACCCTCACCACCACCCTCACCTCCTCTCACTCACCACCACCACCCTCACCTCCACCCTCACCTCCACCCTCACCTCCTCTCACTCACCACCACCACCCTCACCACCATCACCACCACCCTTACCACCACCCTCACCACCACCATCACCACCACCCTCACCACCACCACCACCCTCACCACCCTCACCACCCTCACCACCACCCTCACTCACCTCCACAGCGTCCGCCTCTCCCTCCTGGCCGGGAGGCACGTAGAAGCGCACCTCCATGAGGGAGACATCTGCATCATCGTTCTGGTGGAACTCCAGCGTCACCTCCCTCACCACCCTCACCACCATCACCACCACCACCACCCTCACCTCCACCCTCACCTCCACCCTCACCTCCACCCTCACCTCCACCCTCACCTCCACCCTCACCTCCTCTCACTCACCACCACCACCACCACCCTCACCACCACCATCCTCACCACCACCACCACCCTCACCACCACCATCCTCACCACCACCACCACCCTCACCCTCACCACCACCACCACCACCCTCACCCTCACCACCACCCTCACCCTCACCTCCACCCTCACCACCCTCACCACCACCACCACCCTTACCACCACCACCCTTACCACCACATCATCTCCACCCTCACCACCACCCTCACCACCACCACCACCACCTCCACCCTCACCACCCTCACCACCCTCACCACCACCACCCTCACCACCTCCCACTCACCTCCACAGCATCCGCCCCTCCCTCCTGGCCGGGAGGCACGTAGAAGCGCACCTCCATGAGGGAGACATCTGTGTCGTCGTTCTGGTGGAACTCCAGCGTCACCTCCCTCACCACCCTCACCACCACCCTCACCACCACCACCCTCACCACCTCCCACTCACCTCCACAGCGTCCGCCCCTCCCTCCTGGCCGGGAGGCACGTAGAAGCGCACCTCCATGAGGGAGACATATGCATCATCGTTCTGGTGGAACTCCAGCGTCACCTCCCTCACCACCCTCACCACCACCCTCACCACCACCACCCTCACCACCTCCCACTCACCTCCACAGCGTCCGCCCCTCCCTCCTGGCCGGGAGGCACGTAGAAGCGCACCTCCATGAGGGAGACATCTGTGTCGTCGTTCTGGTGGAACTCCAGCGTCACCTCGTTCTTGCCGGTGGCGCACTGCGACACCGTGCCCAGCGGGATCTCAAACGAGGTGACGTCACCCACGTCAAACGACAGCAGCTGGCCTGGAGCCGCGACGAGGTGAGGGGGAGGAGGAGGTGAGTGACAGACAGAGGAGGTGAGAGACAGACAGAGGAGGTGAGTGACAGACAGAGGAGGTGAGAGACAGAGGAGGTGAGTGACAGACAGAGGAGGTGAGAGACAGAGGAGGTGAGTGACAGACAGAGGAGGTGAGTGACAGACAGAGGAGGTGAGAGACGGGGAGAGGAGGTGAGCGACAGACAGAGGAGGTGAGTGACAGACAGACGAGGTGAGTGACAGACAGAGGAGGTGACAGACAGAGGAGGTGAGTGACAGACAGAGGAGGTGAGGGACAGACAGAGGTGAGACAGAAGAGGTGAGTGACAGACAGAGGAGGTGAGTGACAGACAGAGGAGGTGAGTGACAGACAGAGGAGGTGAGTGACAGAGGAGGTGAGTGACAGACAGAGGAGGTGAGTGACAGACAGAGGAGGTGAGGGACAGACAGAGGAGGTGAGTGGCAGACAGAGGAGGTGACAGAGGAGGTGAGTGGCAGACAGAAGAGGTGAGTGGCAGACAGAGGAGGTGAGAGACGGGGAGAGGAGGTGAGTGACAGACAGACGAGGTGAGTGACAGACAGAGGAGGTGAGAGACAGACAGAGGAGGTGAGTGGCAGACAGAGGAGGTGACAGACAGAGGAGGTGACAGACAGACAGAGGAGGTGAGTGGCAGACAGAGGAGGTGAGTGACAGACAGAGGAGGTGAGTGGCAGACAGAGGAGGTGAGTGACAGACAGAGGAGGTGACAGACAGAGGAGGTGACAGACAGAGGAGGTGACAGACAGAGGAGGTGAGTGACAGACAGAGGAGGTGAGGGACAGACAGAGGAGGTGAGTGACAGAGGAGGTGAGTGACAGACAGAGGAGGTGAGGGACAGACAGACGAGGTGAGTGACAGACAGAGGAGGTGAGGGAGAGACAGAGGAGGTGAGTGACAGAGGAGGTGAGTGACAGACAGAGGAGGTGACAGACAGACAGAGGAGGTGAGTGACAGACAGAGGAGGTGAGTGACAGACAGAGGAGGTGAGTGACAGACAGAGGAGGTGAGTGACAGAGGAGGTGAGTGACAGACAGAGGAGGTGAGTGACAGACAGACGAGGTGAGTGACAGACAGAGGAGGTGACAGACAGAGGAGGTGAGTGACAGACAGACGAGGTGAGTGACAGACAGAGGAGGTGAGAGACAGACAGAGGAGGTGACAGACAGACAGAGGAGGTGAGTGACAGACAGAGGAGGTGAGTGACAGACAGAGGAGGTGAGGGACAGACAGAGGAGGTGAGTGACAGACAGAGGAGGTGAGTGACAGAGGAGGTGAGTGACAGACAGAGGAGGTGACAGAGGAGGTGAGTGACAGACAGAGGAGGTGACAGACAGAGGAGGTGAGTGACAGACAGAGGAGGTGAGTGACAGACAGAGGAGGTGACAGAGGAGGTGAGTGACAGACAGAGGAGGTGAGTGACAGACAGAGGAGGTGACAGACAGAGGAGGTGAGTGACAGACAGAGGAGGTGAGTGACAGAGGAGGTGAGTGACAGACAGAGGAGGTGAGTGACAGACAGAGGAGGTGACAGACAGAGGAGGTGAGTGACAGACAGAGGAGGTGAGTGACAGAGGAGGTGAGTGACAGACAGAGGAGGTGACAGACAGAGGAGGTGAGGGACAGACAGAGGAGGTGAGTGACAGACAGAGGAGGTGAGTGACAGACAGAGGAGGTGAGTGACAGACAGAGGAGGTGAGGGACAGACAGAGGAGGTGAGTGACAGACAGAGGAGGTGAGTGACAGAGGAGGTGAGTGACAGACAGAGGAGGTGAGGGACAGAGGAGGTGAGTGACAGACAGAGGAGGTGAGTGACAGACAGAGGAGGTGAGTGACAGAGGAGGTGAGTGACAGACAGAGGAGGTGAGTGACAGACAGAGGAGGTGAGTGACAGAGGAGGTGAGTGACAGACAGAGGAGGTGAGTGACAGACAGAGGAGGTGAGTGACAGAGGAGGTGAGTGACAGACAGAGGAGGTGACAGACAGAGGAGGTGAGTGACAGAGGAGGTGAGTGACAGACAGAGGAGGTGACAGACAGAGGAGGTGAGTGACAGAGGAGGTGAGTGATAGACAGAGGAGGTGACAGACAGACAGAGGTGGTGAGGGACAGACAGAGGAGGTGAGGGACAGACAGAGGAGGTGAGTGACAGACAGAGGAGGTGAGGGACAGACAGAGGAGGTGAGTGACAGAGGAGGTGAGTGACAGACAGAGGAGGTGAGGGACAGACAGAGGAGGTGAGTGACAGACAGAGGAGGTGACAGACAGAGGAGGTGAGTGACAGACAGAGGAGGTGAGTGACAGACAGACGAGGTGAGTGACAGACAGAGGAGGTGAGTGACAGACAGAGGAGGTGAGTGACAGACAGACGAGGTGAGTGACAGACAGAGGAGGTGAGTGACAGACAGAGGAGGTGAGGGACAGACAGAGGAGGTGAGGGACAGACAGAGGAGGTGACAGACAGAGGAGGTGAGTGACAGACAGAGGAGGTGACAGACAGAGGAGGTGAGAGACAGACAGAGGAGGTGACAGACAGACAGAGGAGGTGAGTGACAGACAGAGGAGGTGAGTGACAGACAGAGGAGGTGAGCTGTTAAGGAGGTGACAGGAGGCCAGCACTTGCCCCAAGAGGCTGTGGTGGCTATATGGGGGACCTGTCTTTGTTTAACGTGAAGCGTGTGTGATGAAGACGACGACGATGATGCTGTTGGTGATGATGATGTGATGACACTCTTGTGATCAATAAAATCATCGTCGTCATGAAGATCATCGCCACCACCACCATCAACACCATCATCATCACGACCATCATCACCATCATCACCATCACCACCTCCATCACTGCCACCACCATCACCATCATCACCATCATCACCATCATCACCATCATCACCGCCTCAATCATCATCACCACCATCACCACCACCATCACCACCACCATCACCACCACCATCACCACCACCATCACCACCACCATCATCACCACCATCACCACCATCACCACCACCATCACCACCACCCCCACCACCATCACCACCACCATCACCACCATCACCACCACCACCATCATCACCACCACCACCATCATCACCACCACCATCACCACCATCATCACCACCACCACCATCACCTGCGAATTTCACGGAGCCCCAGTTCCACCCCTTGACACAAAGCTCCTTCTGCTGCAGCTCCAACTTGTAGTGAGTTCTAAAGAAGACTGCCAGTTTCTCAAACTCCTACTCACAGAGACACGGGGAGAGACACAGAGACACGAGGAGAGAGACAGAGACACGGGGAGAGAGACAGAGACACGGGGAGGGAGAGAAGTGAGTTTTAAAGAAGACTGCCAACTTGTCAAACTCCTACTCACAGAGACACGGGGAGAGAGACAGAGACACAGAGACACGGGGAGAGAGACAGAGACACGGGGAGACACACCATGCCTCACACTCACCCTGTCACACTCACCCTGTCACACTCACCCTGTCACACTCACCCTGTCACACTCACCCTGTCACGATCACCCTGTCACGATCACCCTGTCACACTCACCCTGTCACACTCACCCTGTCACGATCACCCTGCCACACTCACCCTGTCACACTCACCCTGTCACACTCACCCTGTCACGATCACCCTGTCACACTCACCCTGTCACACTCACCCTGTCACACTCACCCTGTCACGATCACCCTGTCACACTCACCCTGTCAGACTCACCCTGTCACACTCACCCTGTCACACTCACCCTGTCACACTCACCCTGTCACACTCACCCTGTCACGATCACCCTGTCACACTCACCCTGTCACACTCACCCTGTCACGCTCACCCTGTCACGCTCACCCTGTCACGCTCACCCTGTCACGATCACCCTGTCACACTCACCCTGTCACACTCACCCTGTCACACTCACCCTGTCACGATCACCCTGTCACGATCACCCTGTCACAATCACCCTGTCACACTCACCCTGTCACACTCACCCTGTCACACTCACCCTGTCACACTCACCCTGTCACACTCACCCTGTCACGCTCACCCTGTCACGCTCACCCTGTCACGCTCACCCTGTCACACTCACCCTGTCACGCTCACCCTGTCACGCTCACCCTGTCACACTCACCCTGTCACACTCACCCTGTCACACTCACCCTGTCACACTCACCCTGTCACACTCACCCTGTCACACTCACCCTGTCACACTCACCCTGTCACACTCACCCTGTCACACTCACCCTGTCACACTCACCCTGTCACACTCACCCTGTCACACTCACCCTGTCACACTCACCCTGTCACGATCACCCTGTCACGATCACCCTGTCACGATCACCCTGTCACGCTCACCCTGTCACGATCACCCTGTCACACTCACCTTGTCACACTCACCCTGTCACACTCACCCTGTCACACTCACCCTGTCACGATCACGCTGTCACACTCACCCTGTCACACTCACCCTGTCACACTCACCCTGTCACACTCACCCTGTCACACTCACCCTGTCACACTCACCCTGTCACACTCACCCTGTCACGCTCACCCTGTCACGCTCACCCTGTCACGCTCACCCTGTCACGCTCACCCTGTCACGCTCACCCTGTCACACTCACCCTGTCACGATCACCCTGTCACGATCACCCTGTCACGATCACCCTGTCACGATCACCCTGTCACACTCACCCTGTCACACTCACCCTGTCACGATCACCCTGTCACACTCACCCCGTCACGATCACCCCGTCACACTCACCCTGTCACGATCACGCTGTCACACTCACCCTGTCACACTCACGCTGTCACGCTCACCCTGTCACACTCACCCTGTCACACTCACCCTGTCACACTCACCCTGTCACGATCACCCTGTCACACTCACCCTGTCACACTCACCCTGTCACACTCACCCTGTCACGCTCACCCCGTCACACTCACCCCGTCACACTCACCCAGTCACACTCACCCTGTCACGATCACCCTGTCACACTCACCCTGTCACGATCACCCTGTCACACTCACCCTGTCACGATCACCCTGTCACACTCACCCTGTCACACTCACCCTGTTACACTCACCCTGTCACACTCACCCTGTCACACTCACCCTGTCACACTCACCCTGTCACGCTCACCCTGTCACGCTCACCCTGTCACACTCACCCTGCCACACTCACCCTGTCACGATCACCCTGTCACACTCACCCTGTCACGATCACCCTGTCACGATCACCCTGTCACACTCACCCTGTCACGATCACCCTGTCACGATCACCCTGTCACACTCACCCTGTCACACTCACCCTGTCACACTCACCCTGTCACACTCACCCTGTCACACTCACCCCGTCACACTCACCCCGTCACACTCACCCCGTCACACTCACCCCGTCACACTCACCCCGTCACACTCACCCCGTCACACTCACCCTGTCACACTCACCCTGTCACACTCACCCTGTCACACTCACCCTGTCACGATCACCCTGTCACGCTCACCCTGTCACGATCACCCTGTCACGATCACGCTGTCACGATCACCCTGTCACGATCACCCTGTCACACTCACCCTGTCACACTCACCCTGTCACACTCACCCTGTCACACTCACCCTGTCACGATCACCCTGTCACGCTCACCCTGTCACGATCACCCTGTCACGATCACCCTGTCACGATCACCCTGCCACACTCACCCTGTCACACTCACCCTGTCACACTCACCCTGTCACGATCACCCTGTCACGCTCACCCTGTCACACTCACCCTGTCACACTCACCCTGTCACACTCACCCTGTCACACTCACCCTGTCACACTCACCCTGTCACACTCACCCTGTCACACTCACCCTGTCACACTCACCCTGTCACACTCACCCTGTCACACTCACCCTGTCACACTCACCCTGTCACACTCACCCTGTCACACTCACCCTGTCACACTCACCCTGTCACACTCACCCTGTCACACTCACCCTGTCACACCACACTCACCCTGTCACACTCACCCTGTCACACTCACCCTGTCACGCTCACCCTGTCACACTCACCCTGTCACGCTCACCCTGTCACACTCACCCTGTCACGATCACCCTGTCACAATCACCCTGTCACGATCACCCTGTCACGCTCACCCTGTCACGCTCACCCTGTCACACTCACCCTGTCACACTCACCCTGTCACGATCACCCTGTCACAATCACCCTGTCACACTCACCCTGTCACACTCACCCTGTCACACTCACCCTGTCACGCTCACCCTGTCACACTCACCCTGTCACGCTCACCCTGTCACACTCACCCTGTCACGCTCACCCTGTCACACTCACCCTGTCACGATCACCCTGTCACAATCACCCTGTCACACTCACCCTGTCACACTCACCCTGTCACGATCACCCTGTCACACTCACCCTGTCACGATCACCCTGTCACGATCACCCTGTCACGATCACCCTGTCACGATCAACCCTGTCACGATCACCTGTCACACTCACCCTGTCACACTCACCCTGTCACACTCACCCTGTCACACTCACCCTGTCACACCACCCTGTCACACTCACCCTGTCACACTCACCCCGTCACGATCACACCTGTCACACTCACCCTGTCACACTCACCCTGTCACACTCACCCTGTCACACTCACCCTGTCACACTCACCCTGTCACACTCACCCTGTCACGATCACCCTGTCACGCTCACCCTGTCACGATCACCCTGTCACGATCACGCTGTCACGATCACCCTGTCACGATCACCCTGCCACACTCACCCTGTCACACTCACCCTGTCACACTCACCCTGTCACGATCACCATGTCACACTCCACCCTGCCACACTCCCCTGTCACACTCACCCTGTCACACTCACCCTGTCACACTCACCCTGTCACGCTCACCCTGTCACGCTCACCCTGTTCACGCTCACCCTGTCACGCTTCACCCTGTCACGCTCACCCTGTCACACTCACCCTGTCACACTCACCCTGTCACACTCACCCTGTCACACTCACCCTGTCACAATCACCCTGTCACACTCACCCTGTCACACTCACCCTGTCACACTCACCCTGTCACGATCACCCTGTTCACGCTCACCCTGTCACGATCACCCTGTCACGATCACCCTGTCACGATCACCCTGTCCACACTCACCCTGTCACACTCACCCCTGTCACACTCACCCTGTCACGATCACCCTGTCACACTCACCCTGCCACACTCACCCTGTCACACTCACCCTGTCACACTCACCCTGTCACGATCACCCTGTCACACTCACCCTGCCACACTCACCCTGTCACACTCACCCTGTCACACTCACCCTGTCACACTCACCCTGTCACACTCACCCTGTCACACTCACCCTGTCACGATCACCCTGTCACGCTCACCCTGTCACGCTCACCCTGTCACGCTCACCCTGTCACGCTCACCCTGTCACGCTCACCCTGTCACACTCACCCTGTCACACTCACCCTGTCACGCTCACCCCTGTCACACTCACCCCTTGTCACCGATCACCCTGTTCACACTCACCCTGTCCACGATCCCCCTGTCACGATCACCCTGTCACACTCACCCTTGTCACACTCACCCCTGTCACGAATCACCCGTCACGCTCACCCTGTCACGCTCACCCTGTCACACCTCACCCCCTGTCACACTCACTCCTGTCACCACTCACCCTGTCACGATCACCCTGTTACGCTTCACCCTTTTGTCACGATCACCCCTTGTCACACTCACCTCACCCTGTCACACCCTCATTTTGCCCCGTCACGATTCACCCTTCACACTTCCCACCCTCCTCCTGTCACGATTCCCACCCTGTCACACTCACCCTGTCACGATCCACCTCTGTCACACTCCACCCTTTCACACTCCCCCTCCTGTCACACTCACCCCCTTGTCACACTTCCCCCACCCTGTCACACTCACCCCCCCCCCCTGTTTCACACTTACACCCCTGTCACCACTCACCCTGTCACACTTCTCCCTGTTCACACTCACCCTGTCACACTCACCCTGTCCACACTCACCCTGTCACGATCACCCTTGTCACGCTCACCCTGTCACACTCCACCATGTCACACTCACCCTGTCACACTCACCCTGTCACGCTCACCCTGTCACGCTCACCTGTCACGCTCACCCTGTCCACGCTCACCCTGTCACACTCACCCGTCACACTCACCCTGTCACACTCACCCTGTCACGATCACACCTGTC